CCCCCACCCCCAAAAATCCTGGTCTTTTTTAAGTAAAGGGGAGATATTATACGGACAAAACATTCTGATTTCCTCAATGAGAAAGAAACTGTGCTTTTTAGAAGTATTTAATAATGTGCCAAAGATCCCACAACTTGCAGTGCATGGAAGTGGAATTTCAACCCATGCCGATATGATTTAAAAGTCCAAGCTCCTAACCTTGAATAAATCAGTAGAGTGTTTGGTAGAATAGCAACCTTCTGGTGTTTGTAAATATGGATGATTTTCAAGTTGTACCAACAGTGCTATTTGGGGACTGTTTTCTTGTTCATAACTGGCACCGCGTAAACACTCAATAGACATATGCTGAATTAATAAAAGATCTGACTCTTTTTAAATAATTTACAAAATCAATAAATTAGGTGGTAGGCAATCCCTACAGTAATACAAAGGGAAAAGAATAAAAGCATTAAGCAACTTTGAAGATTCACCCACTTGCAAAATTTTTATTGAGCACCTACTATGTACCAAGGAAGATGCAACACACTGTTACTATAAGAGCCAAAAAAATACAGTCCCCAGCCTGGACATCAGGAAAGAGATAAATTATAACTCAGTATGGTAAGTGCTATCAGGGAGAGATCCACAAAGTTCTGTTAGAACACATCACTGGCAATCGACTCAACCTAAGTGGGAGTCAGAAAGGTTTCACTAAGTACCCGACATGTGAGCAGGGTCATACAGGAAAATTGCTTTCCAGGCACAGGCAGGTGAAGGAGGAAGAAGAGAAGGAAGGGCTTTCCACGTAGAGGTTCAGAGTTGTGTAGACACCTGACAAAGTTCCTTGTGGTAGAAGTCTGGGTACAAGCATGCATGTGCATGCAAATATGCAGATGCATGACCATTGGTATGGAAACTAGAAAAGGTAGGCAGAAAATAGATAAGATAGGTCCTTGGCCTCCCCAAACTAAGAGGTTTGGAATTTATCCTGCAAGTAACATGATCAAGAAATTTTTAAGCACATTTATTTTTAGAAAATTAACTGAGAATACAACAGAAAATGAACTGGAGTAGGGAGAAATGGGTGACAGGACATGAAAGAGAAAAAGTCCCTAGGAGAGATTATAGGGACTGAACTAAAGAAGTAGGAGTAATAAAGGAAAGTACAATCTGGCATAGGATGAACAAGATTTGGTGACCAACTAGACATAGGAGATGAAAAAGAAAGAGACAAAGACACAAATATTCCTAGTTTAGAAAATTGGGTAGAAGATACGGAAATCACTAAGACTGAGAATACAGGAGCACATTTGGTGTGAAGAACAAAATTAATCCCACCTTAAACCTGCAAGACATCCAGGTTGCGGATGCATGTTTTCTGGTTCGGATCAAAATACTCAACTGTGTCCCCCTATCTAGGATATAAGGAAAGACTAGTCATTTCCCATTGTTATCTGGCCCTTCTCTGCTTCTGACTGCCCTCAAGGTCCCAAGATCCTTTCTGGGACACAGAAAGAAGCCATTTCATTCCCATCCCCAAACCTGTCCCACATCATGCACCCCCCCCAAGGGGAACCCCAAGCTGTAAGAAGGATTTTGGCAGCTCCCTTGTATTCCTTCCTTCTAAATAGACCCCACAGAAATTCTAAATATAAACACTACCTTTCTATTAAACTATCTTTCTCTATTTCAACCAAATAAATATGAAGGCTCAGTTAAATCAGGATTTAAAAAACAACAACAACCAGAATTCTAATTTATTAATTTATAAGAAATAAAACTGTCAAAGGACTGCTCTTATCCAAAAGACCAGCCCATTATCACCCTGGAGGCAGACCTAGATTGAAATTTTAAAAACTCTTTGGATCCAAGAAATATCTTGGATAAATAATTACCAAGAAATCAAAATAGGTAATTAACTTAACCACTGATAGCCATGTAACTCTGGGTCACTACTCATTAGCAAAGTAAGACGAGGGCTTCAAAACGAGTGAAGGTTGCTAAGGATTCCCAAAGAATGGGCTGTCTTCCCTGTTCTACTGTCGAAATATGGGAGAAATAGGCAATTTCAAACACAAAAAAACATTTTCAGCTGGGACTGTACAATGTGTCATCACAGTAAGTAAAAATATAACTGAATGGAAAAACAGCTATGTCTCACTAACATAATATACGCAAGACAGAAGGACAAGAGTTACCAAATGTTTGAATTATCAGTTATTTCTATTGTTACAAAAATAGAAGAAAACAAAAAAAGTGACGACTTATCATATACAATTCTTATAACTGTGACAAAATGAAGATGGTCTAAATTCAGATCTGCCCCCAAAATGAAGGCAAAATAAGGGGTGGGTGTGAACGAACCAAAGAAAACTAAACTCTACTCCACCTCGGAGCAGTTTCACTCTGAGAGATCCAGAGTAGTCAAAAGGACGAGAACCAGACTCCTCCCGCAGACCCCAGTGGTCACTCATCACAGAAAATCAACCGGGAAGAGTCAAAAGGAGGAGTGTTAATAAAAAAGGACGGGGTGGGACTCGTCTGCGACCTGTCCCCGTCTGCTGACGGACGTTCCCAGGGTCCCAGGAAAGCCCTCCCTCCCCTCGCTCCAGCTCTTACCTTCCACTTCCTCCGCGCCCTTCATCAGCATATTTTTTGTCAAATTTGAAATCTGGCCAGTGAGGGAAGCCAGGCTACCCCCCACTCGACCCAGAGACTGGCCCAAGCCGGCGCCGAGGCCCCCAAGCCAGGACGACATCGCTGCGGGTTTAGAGAGCGACGCGGTCAGCTCCGAGAAAAGCGTCCAGCGCCGTCGGACATCCCCGCCAAATGTCCTCCAACGTCGGCCTTCACGGGACTAGTCCGAATCCAAACACTCGGAATTCGATGGCACAACGCGGGGTTCCCTGGCAACGCCCGCTTCGCACGGGGCTCCCACCAAGGGCCGGGTTCTGCCTGGAACTTTACCAGAGGCCCGCCTCTAGTGACACCGTCACCCAAGCGGGGCCTCGACTCATTCCCACGACTTCCCACCGTCCGGACTGGGTCACTGCTTCCTCCGCTTTGGTGAGTTTCCCCAGTTCCGGGGGCAATTCCTGCCAAGTCGACGCCTGCCGCCTAGACGCTCGCTCTGACAGCGGCTGTGGAGCAGAGAGACAGTGGAAGACAGTGCTGTGGAAGACAGTGTTGTAATTCTGACTACACCGCGAAGGCGCAGTGCGAGGAGACCTGGCCGAGGACGTCGTGCTGCGCTGGAAACGGCTTCGGAGAACTCATCGCAGGTTACTGTGTCGATCATCCAACCGCTGAAGGGCTGCTCTGTGCCGGGCGCTAAGGTAGGAGCTGAGAATACAAAGATATAAAAGATGGGGCGCAAATTCAACTGTCAAGGCAGGAAACAACACTTTTTACTGATTACCCAAGAGAGCAGAAATTCCTCTGCTATATTCCTCTGTAATATTTGATGTTATTAGGACCGATCTGCGCCTCCCTGGTCTTCCCTGTCTTAGTGAACTGTTTCTCCATTCACCGTCCCCCATCCCCCATCCAGCTGCGCGAGCCAAAATCGTAGGAGCCATCTTTGAATCCTCTGTTTTCCTTCTGCTTCCCCTAACACCCCCACCCCCACACCCCCATCATATGCAGCAAGCCCTGTCAGTCCTACCTCAAAGTCACATCCTGAACCTGGCCACTTATCTCCTCTCCCACCACCTTCTCAGCTCTTGTCTGGACTACTACAAGAGCCTCCTGGCTGGTCTTTTTGTTTCCATGTACATCAGCAAGTAAGTGCTCCCTGTAATATGTCCTCAGAACAGCCCAAGGGATTTTTTTTAAAAACCTGATTATTTTATTACTGCTTTGCTTAAAGTCCTCCGGTACATTCTCTTTGCACTTGGAATAAGATCAGAACTTCAAACGTATAAGGCCCCCACATAATTTGGCGTCTGTCTCATTCTCAGACTATGTCTTTTCTGCTTCTTCTGTCCCTCGGACTTGCGGACACTTCAGCTGCTGTGCTGCAGGGCAGACACACAGTGCTCAGTCTTCCTTTAGGGCCTTTGGAATGGTCTTTCTTCAGATCTTGCAATGACAACTTTCTTTTTGTCATTCAGGTCATAACTTAAATGCCACTTCCTTAGAAATGCCATCCCGAACGTCAGTCTAAAGGTGCCCTTGGGTACTATCAAATCTCCTACTTTTCTTTAAAGTGATAGTACTTATCACTTTATCAGATATTTTCATATTTATGTATAGAATGTAGAATGTTATCTGCATGAAAGGAGGGACCCTATCTGTCATGTAACTGCTTTATTCTCAGCATCAACAATAGTGCCTGGCACATGGTAGGTGCTTAGTCAGTATTTGTGGAATGAATGGATGGTACCTAAAATACAGTAATAATATTACTGACCTAAGGGTATTTTTGTGAGGATTGGATCATGCATGTAAGGGACTTGGTATAGTAGAAGCATAGTATTAAGCACATGGTAGATGCTTAATAAATTGTATTATTATTATATACATAACAAAAAGTTTAAAATGCTCAATACATTTATACAATATTAATGGCAATCAAGGGTGAATCATTATTACATCCCCACTTCAGAGATGAAGAAATGAGACTTGAGGAGGTTAAGTAACTTTACCATGGCATGGCGAGCCTGGACTCCTAAATACAATGATAAACTTTTAACAAAAACAAGAAAAGAAACATCGTTGGATATTGCCTTCATTTCATAAATTCTCCAAAAGTAAATAAGATGGATTAGTAATTTATAAACAGAAACTTAACTATTCTAAAATGGACACTTGTTCTGTCATGGACTATATTCATATGAAGCAAGTACCTTTTGTGATTTTCTCTGTTCCCATGTTGGTGATTTTCCTTCCCTTTTACTTATTGTAGTTTCCTCTAGTATACAATTGATTTGAAATGGGTCAGTATCATAAAAGGTTTTATGATACTAACCCAATTTTATTATTAGAAATTAATATCTGATCTGCCATCCTATATGAATTATCATTTTATTTTCCATTAAAAAAAAGATATACTACTTTGTCCTTAGTGTCATGGATAGAGGTTTTGAATTCAGCTACAAATTGAAGGGTTGTGCAGCAGCTTATAATGCTGAGTTTGTGTTTTTAACGATGCATGTATGAACAGCTCATGCCACTCAGTGGTCTCTGCAATGGGTGATCTTTTGAGTCTACAGGGGACAAAAAATAATGTGAATTTTGTGTTTTGAGTACTTTAGAGAATGGAAAGCTTATATGTATAATAAACACTTGCTCACTCTCATCCAGCACAGAGCTTTGGGCTTTGAAATTTATGAGGGCTTTTTGGTTGTTTTTGTTGTTATCATATTAGAGAACAGGTAATTAGAGCAACCAAAACTAGATTAAGAAGACTTTTCTTTAGCATTGAGAAGATGATAAATTGTATGTGGTATTGAAATATGAACTTTATGAGAACAGTGGTTCTCAAATAACTTTAAGCCTACTCTAAATTTTTAATTCTCTGTCTTTTGAAGCATTTATTATTAACATAATTTTGGCAAGATATCAATAGTTAATTGTATTTCAGTTAGTCATTGTACAAGTATTTCACAAGGAATGTCATCTATATTTAACACAGGATCATGTTTATTAAGGTCCTTCCTAGGTAAGGAATTCTTTTAACAATAACAAAAAAAAAATCACAAATATAGTGCTGATATATACTTATATGCCACTGGTTTTTCTTTTCCTTTCTTTTTTTATACAGGCAAAGGCACTGTTACAAACTGCATCGTCATTAGCACCCCATATGTATGAACCACATTTTAATTTTGCAACAGTCTCTGATAAGGTATTATCTTCCTTTGTGAATTTATCACCTGATATGTTTCTTTTTCTTTCTTGGTTTAAAAAAAAGAAAAGTGCAGATAAGTAAGGAAATTCAAACCTTACCTTTCTGAAAGAAATGATTTTTTTAAACTCTTAATTATTATATACACAAATATCTTCACTTCAAAGGAAAGTTTAATAAAATTTAATTTATCACTGAATATTGACTAAACTCAACACCATTATAGATTGCAGAAGAATTATTTAAGTTTTAAAATATAATATTTCATCATTGAAGAAATGCTTATTAAGTGATTACTGGCTTGGGAGGGATGTAGTACTAATTAGCTTTTCCAGCAAGGAAATCCTGTATATTATTTGTAAAATCATATTGCCACTAAGTCTCTGGCATGATTGCTGTAAAATTAGGGTTATTAGCAAAAGCTATTTTGGCTATGAACAGTATGGGAGAAATAGAACTGTTAATACTTTGTTGCAAGTCAATTAATATCCAAAAGGTGAAAGAAGTCATGTACCATTTTTAATAAGAAGAAAACAAACAAAGAAAAGGCACTAATAAATAACTTTTATTTGGAAACCTTTCTTTGACATGGCAGGTAAGTCTGTCTTGAGGATAAGCAGATGGCTAAAAATGTTTGTGGTATAAGTAGGAGTCTTTATAGACTGAAGACATAAAAATATGTTATTTTTCATAGCACGATATGAAGCCATCCGAACTCTCATATCTGTTTTGAAAATAAAATAAGCTGTCACTTATAGTTTGTAATTTTTGAGTGCTTGAGTATGAGCTAATGTTCTAGATGCTTTACACCCTTCTCTAGTAATTCTCCCAACAACCCTGTAATGTAGGTGTCCCTTACTTTCCTTACTCATTTCTTCATACAACTGATGTTTTGTTTATCAAACCTCTGCTATATACCAGGTGCTATTGTCAGCACAGAGGATGTAGCAATGAATAAAACAGGCAAAAACCTCTACCTCGTGCAGCTTACATTCTAGTGGAATGGGAGGCTCACAGAGATTAAAAGACTTCCCTAGAGTCAGTGGCAGTGGCGGGGTCCAAATTCACACTCAGCTCCTAGCGATACCCACAAGTTTTCCATTGCATTGTCTATAATCAAGCAATTTGTTTTTAAGAACCTGTTTAGGTTCTACAGCATGCAGATAGTAGGTCTTTTTTTCACTTCCTTACTCATTTTTTCTGGTCTCACTCTGTGGTCTTGTATTTCTTACAGACTGGAAATCTACAGAGAAGTTATGTTGCTGCACAGAAGTCTGAAGCAGCATTTCCAGATCATGTGGATACACAACATTTAATGAAGCAATTAAAGCAGCATTTTGCTATGCTTTGATCATTTTTTAGACCAAATATGTACCTATGAAAAGGCATTATACTGGGGGAAAAAAGTAGTGTGTGTGTGTGTGTGTGTGTGTGTGTGTGTGTGTGTGTATATGTTATACAAACCTATGCTCAATATTAGCGAAGGTGATACATAAGGGAGTTTAACCAGAATGTATAATGAAAATTTCATAATAATAGTAACTTTGTAAGATAATAATATAAAATAAAGGATTTAAGCATTTCTAAGTAGATCGTGAAACTTTCTCCCACATTATATGGTAAATATTTGTATATAATGTTTATAAAACATTTTAATGAATATCTTCAAATTTTTATATATGTACATTTTTAAAGTTCTTAAGCTGACTGTTAGCCATCATGTAGATTAAGAGATCTAAAATCTGCCTTTAAAACTACACTCTTATGGCTAAAATGTTTATTTATCCTAAGTAGAGACTTTATTTAGGGCTTAAAAAATGCATTTAAAACTTTTTTATCAAATACTTTGTGATTATACATTATGATTTAAAATAAATCAGTGTGTAAAGCCATTATTCTGTTATTTTTCATGAATTTTTATTTTAGTCATCTCAGATGAAACCAGTTTTTCAGAAGTCTAGTAATCTTGGAAATCAAGTCAATCTTTCAACTTTATTTCAAGTGATATATCACCAATTTTGTTTTTTCTGAAAAGCTGTTTGTCTTATTCCCTGTTATGTTGCTATAACAGAGTACCACAGACTGGGTAATTTATAAGGAACAGAAGTTTATTTGGCTCACAGATCTAGAGGCTGGGAAGTCCACAGTCGGGGGGCCTGCATCTGGCGAGGGCTTTCTTGCTGTGTCATCCATGGTGGAGGGCAGAAGGGCAAGAGAGATCAAGAGAGCAAGAGAGAAGGCTGAACTCGCTTTTATAACAAGCCCATTCTCACAATAATTAACCTACTCCTGTGATAACATTAATCTGTTCTCTGCCCTCATGACCCTGTCACCTCTTAAAGGTCCCCCTCTCAACACTGTTGCATTGAGGATCAAGTTGCCAACACTTTGGGGGACACATTCAAATCATAGCACTATTTATGGGATATCACATTATTAATACAAGAATATCAGTATTAGAAATAGTTACAGGCCAAGTGTCCCACCTGTGGTCAGTCAGCCCCAAGAAAGTTAAGCTCTATCCCAATGACACGGTATTATAAAGTCCTGGAAAGGCTCTCAGACTTTCTCTGCCTTGCTTAGTGGATCTCTCATTAAAATGTTCACACAAGGAAATGTGTTAAAGCGATAGGGCCACTCAAACTCATACTTTGGACTTTGATATCTGTCCATGATTTTTTTTCATTCTTTAACTTCATGCAAAACTATGTGATAGATATTTATGTTCTTTTCAGATTTGTATAAATAGTACTACTTAGCTGACAAAAAAAAATTCAATTCAAAAAATTGAATAAATCGTTAGAGCCTAGAATTCACTTCAGACAATATGTAGTCAAATCTCTTTGTGGTACAGATGAAGAAAGCAAGACCCAGAGTCACACAGCTAGTTGGTGGTACAGTCACGACCAGAACCCAAGATCATGTTCCACCACTTCAGACTTAAATCTCTCTTTGTTCTCCATGACCTGATAGTGTTTGTTTAGCATTTCCTCAAGCACTATCAAATTTCTTAATATTATATTCAATATTGAGATTCATATTATCAAATGTGAATTACTTTCTTAGTTAACATAATAAGAGTTAATAATAAAGGCTAACATTTACTGAGGGCGTTGAATATGCCCAGCACTGTTCTAAGCACTTTATGTGAATTAATTCATTTCATTCCCACTGCAGTCCTAGGCAGTGCTGTTGTTATTCCTGTTTTACTTATGAGAAAACAGAGGTAGAGAAAAAGATTGTAAAACTAGTGTCAGAGCTGAGATTCAAATGTAGGCAGCATGACCCCTGAGTATGTGCTCTTAGCCACCAAGTTAAAAATAGCCTCTCAGTGTTTCTCCTATAAATAAAGCTAATATCATTTAAAATGAATGTTGTGTGCATTAGCAAAGTTGAATAATAAGGAAATACATGGCAAAAAGTAAATAATTCAGTATATCTAAAATATGGTGAGCTTTTTGTCTTACATTTATGTTAATGTTATGTGAACATCAGTGCAAAGTTGAGTCAGGGTGGCTGAGGGCAGGATGATGACATAATGTAACACTGCGCATCAAGGGCCACACTGTTCTTTTTCATGAAATTACTTCTGGACTGCATCACTTCTGGCTTCTATGCCAACATTTCTATAGAAGGGTTGTTAACAGTTGTCTTCCACCATGGCTACAGAAATGTTCTATCCCTAGATCGAAATTGTACAACCAAAGTTCACATCATTGAGCTTACTTCCAACTGATGAAAATGAGATCTGGCAAGAAGGCTGCCTGCACTGAATAATTGCTGAGGTTAGAAATTCTTTCTTCACAAATGTGTCCCTTCTGAGCCGGTCTCCTATGGTAGTAACTCTCCTGTTACATTCCTGAATGTTATTTCCCAGCATCAGAGTATCCATCACAATATAATTTATGGCCTAGAAATAAGAAAATTAATAAAGATAATACATCAGTACACTTTTAAAGTAGTTTCCACCACCACTTCTGGACTAATGTGAGGGATTCTGTCAAGAGCTTTCAGCTGGAACTGAGTTTAAGCATTCAGAAAACAAAGATTTTAAAAAGACTGTGGTAGGACTCAATCTTGGAAAATAATGAACCTGGAAATTGAGGTTAGGAAAAAGCTATTAGCAGATTTAAATTCCAGAGAATAGTTAAATTGGAATGGTTCATGGATATATTCCATAGTTCCAAAGTAGTTATCTAGGCTCAGACATGGGGGGTGGGGGATTAAACAGTGTGAAAATAACTGCAGTTTCACATTTTTCCATATAGATGGCATTAGTCCTATTTTGGGCTGAATAAAAACTTAAACATTTTTGAGAAATACTGTCATTTCACTGCTTCTGTTCCTGCTAATGTCTGTGGTTCTTTTTTTTTAATGATATTCATGTGATTGTTTAAGATACACAAATTTATTCCTAGGAAAATGTGATTGTTTACTAGGTTTCAGTTTTACATGTTGATGTTTCCAACACACACACGCTCCACTGATTTGAACATCAAAATCTATTTTCTGGTTATATATCCTACCTCATTAATTCTGAAAATACAAGAATCCCATGGTGGAATTTGTCTCCTTAAATTGCTAGATACATACTTGGTAATAGATATGTTATTTATATACTTCTCATTAAGATTGGACAATGATGTTTGATTATTATGGTTCACCTCACACATTATTTATAATAGAAATGCTTGAAATTCAGAAATTATATTTTGTGATTTATAGTAAATTATTAAATTATTGTTGAAAATAAATGTAAAGTATATTAATAGAATATATTAAAATGCCAATGATGGATAAAAGATTATTTTAAAATATGAATTTGTTTTCTCACTGCCGAGTCCCTCGTTATTTTCATGCTTTTCCAGTACTCTCCTTCTGATATCCTGATTCCAGTAATTCCTTGACATCACCAGGACTTCCGATTGTTTGACCAGGCATCAGCCTCTATGTCTTCACTTCCCTTCCTGCTCTTCTCCCTGTGTATGCCCCACATCGTCTGCTCCCTCTCCCTTGCTAGTATCTCATGTCTCATTTTCATTATTCAAATAAAAAAAACACCATGAAATTATCCTTTCTACTGTGCTCTTACATCAACTCCATTCAGCACATCCTTTCACCTCTACCTTCAAAATATACCCAGGGTCTGACTACTCTCCACCATCTCTACTACTACGAAAATCAGGAGAGGAAGGAAATCTATAAAGGTAATCTTGGCGTTGGGTACTGATTTTCCTTCTCGGGTATCTGCCAATTTCAGAAAAGGCTAAGAAGCTGAATGCCTCAAAACTTGCTCAAAGCCACTCAAGGGGTTCTGTAAAAGACATTCACTGGGAGGTACCTTGTGGGCTGCACAATTTTAGTGTGAAGTCACTCTAGAGGGTTCCAGGGAAGCTGCTAGCTGCTGGGTGCTGCTGCTTACCTCACACCTCAGGAGCCCCACTCTGAAAAAAAAATGTGCTTCTGGGGTATAACTCCTCCTTCCTGTAGTGCCCCTCCAGTGCCCTTTACATATGTAGCTTAACTTCCCATCAGCTGTCAAAAAAGAATGATTTTATTTTACATGACAGGCAATGATCGGTGGATTTGGAGCTGAGAACAAATAAATTGATAACTGACAGTCTTGAAAAGAATGCATGTTGTGATCTTCTAGGGAAACCACTAAAGGAATAGTAAAAAAATGTGTAACTACAAAGGGAAAAAATGAAATAATCTTAAAATGTTGATCTGAAAGAAACCAATAAAAGAAAAGAAAACCAATAAATCTAACAAACAAAGAACAAATGGGATAAATAGAAAACACACAAGCTGGTAAATTACATCAATAATTGCATTAAATAGAAATGGATGAAATGCTCTCAAAAGACAGATTGACAGACTGAATTTTTAAAAAACCATTCTTTGCTGCTTACAAGACACATCTACAAGATAAGTATACTGAAATCTTGAAAGCAAAGAGATGGGGAAATATATACTGTGAAAACACTAATAAAAAGAATGATGATGTGGCTATCTTAATCTCAGGCACAGTGGGACACTTCATAATGATAAAAGTTTTAGTTAATCAGGAAGATATAAAAATCTAAATTTGTAGGCAATTAATAAAATAAACTCAAAATATACAAAGCAAAGAATTGCATATCAAAATGAAGAAATAGCTAAATTGAAATTACAATGAGATATTTGAACACACCTCTCTCAGGGAATGATAAATCAATTGGACAACAACAAAAAATCAGTAAACACTTGAAAGATTTGAACAGTACAGTTTTAATTGATGTAATTGACATATAGAGAATAGAGCTCCTAACAACCACAGAACACTGTAAAGATATACTGATCTTTAACACAATATGACTATAGGCTGATTGTATACTTGCAGCAAGTCTCTACAAATTTCAAAAGATTTAAATCATATTACAGTATATTCTCAGACCTGAAGGAAATTAAGATAA